AGAACCAATGCACTGATGCCCAGAAAAAGAAGTGGCTGCCTCTGGCCTCCCGCTTCCAGATAATCGGCACCTACGCTCAGACGGAAATGGGGCACGGTTAGTCCTTTTCAGAGATATACGGGTATTCCAGTGCAGTCTTCTTCAGGTCTGGCTGGCAGCGGGTTTAGAGATGGAGCGCAAAAACGCAGTCCTGGACCAAATTGCATGTGCTCACGGGGGCTGTTGGAGGGGTATATGCAATTGGGGTGTTAAGAGTCCAAACACAGTGTAAAAGCTCTTTGTGGGTTTTACATTCTTTGCTTTGGATTTTTGTAAATCATATTCTTAAGTGTCAGCATGAGCAATTTTTTTCTGCCAGCCTGAAGTTTTCTCTAACGTTAGGCAGTTATTAAACAAGACACACACGTAAGTATGATGGTAGCATAAATGAACCCAAATGAACTGCTACTGTGCATGCCTAATTGGTATGGCCCTGTATGATTTGCATATGGAATACAGTACATCAACAATGGGTAATTTGATCTAATGCCTTTGGGCGGATGAGTTGACTGTAATAATATTCTGCAATAAATGTTTTGGAAAAACACCTTCCTTGGAACATATACCACCAAGTTTTTTATTCCAGAAATAAAGGAGAGAGGAGACAATCTTGGGTTGCTGCCTTCATTATAGTACATGTTTGCGGTAAAAGTTCATTTACTATTATCCTGGCCATTTTAGATTGGAATCTACTTATTTCAAATATGCTTCACCTAAGCCAATCTGGAAAAAATGAAAGTTTTGGTTCCTAAGTCTTTATCTTCATTGAAGAGGCAAGAAATAGGACTAGCATTCATAAATATTTGTTGAACTGAGCAGCTCAATGTGATGAACTATCAGAAAATTATTTAATACGGGATCAAACAGAACTGAAATCCATATCAAGAAAATACATGGCTTCTTTTTTCATTTAGCTAATGCTCCTACATAAAGTAATAGTGTTCTTTTGAAAACGTTCTAGTTTTTGTGTCGTCTCAAATTTAACAAAAATGAAGAACTCGATTAGTATGCTGCACTGTAACGAAGACATGAATGTGGCTGAATGAAAAGGGAAAGGCTCTGGTTTCCAGATGTGCTGTCTGCAATCAATTCTGGAGAATGATGCAAGCATAGAATGGCTTGTTTGGTTAAATCGTGACTCCACTGATACCTCTTGAAAAATCTATGGCTGCTGTGCATCTCAGCATCCAACCATCACCACTTGAATGTAACAATTGCACGCCACAAGCAGTTTATCTGAATGGAACAGCCTACGAATAAGCAAGTGGAACACCATATGAATAAACACAATATTAAACCCTTCATAGACTTTTTGTGTGGAACAGAAAAAAATGAACTTAAGATTTATGGTTTTGATTATTAGACAGAAGAGATTATAGAAAGAAGAGAGTTATGTTGTAGCCGTAGAGTAAGAGGTAAATGTATAATTGTACCTATAACTGCTATAAAGATCGGAAGCTACTTCTTTGTACCTTGTTTCTTTCCTTTCTATTTTTCTTTTACTTTTTGTCCCCTTTCTTGCACTTTTAGCTTCCTCTTTGATTTCTTTCTTTTTTTTCTTACTTTATATTAGTTTGTATGAATAAGCAAAATATTGTTGCTTCTGTTTCGAACCTTGATCACAGCAGTATTGGGGTTTGTGTTTTGTTTTCTGCATGCTGTATGCTTATTTCCATGTGTCAGTGTGTAATATTGGTATTCTGTCAACTAATCCATATATTTATGATAAATGGGTCATGCTGATAACTTGGTTGCATAGGTGTGTCAGGATTTCCTGTTTGGATAAGTTGCTCTGGCTGAACTGTAATATAATGAAGGTGCTACTTAAAATAACAAACCTGACTAAGGCTGGCTTGGCATTCGTCAATGGTGCATGTAAAATAACTATTCTACTTACTTTAAGAGATATCCAGCTGATATAAGCCCTGGCAGAAAAGATCTTCTAAGAGCTCAGTGGTAGGGTTCTGGAACTCAGAAGATTCCAGGTTTACTCACTGATGAAATATCTTGGAGAGCTTCTGCCAGCCAGTGTTGACAATTTTCAGTCAAGGGAACTGATAGGGGTCTAATTTGGTATAAGGCAGTTACTGAGCAGTGTTTCTCAACCTTGGCAAGTTTAAGATGGGTGGACTTCAACTCCCAGAACTCCCCAGCCAGCTTAAACGTGCCAAGGTTGAGAAACACTGCTATTGAGGATGCAGCTTTAGGATGCAGACAGCAAGTGTAAACCTTCTGACATCTTGCTACTGCAGTCTGCCTCCCATTTTTTTCTCTCCTGTTTCCAGGAGAAGGACAGAGCTCCAACGGCTTCAATAAAGGTGGATGAAAAATAGGATCCCAGCAGCACTGTGTTTTAGAACTAACTGCATCAGGATTGAGTTGTTCATGAGCCATTAATAGCGCCAAAGCCACCATTCTGTACGCTTCAAACTCTTTAGGGATTCTGCTGCTGCAAACGGATGGCAGACTATCATGGCTGTAAATGTTTTGTACTTTGTTTTGCTTTCTGCATTTGTTTGCTTTCTTAAATTAAATTTTACACACGGTTAACCTTATCAGTGTAGCTCTCAGCCATCGAAACTTGCTTGTCCTGGCTATAAATGATCATATTGAGCATTGCTACCTAAAATTGATTTCAATCTTCTCTCCTATTCATAGATGACAATTATCATCTGGTGATGCTATTTTCTTGTTTTTTTTAATACTATTTGGCTTTTAATTACAAAGATATGCTGTTAGTGGTATACTATATCATGTTTCTGTTACTCCCTAGGTATCTTTTTTAAAGTTTTAAAATTGTTTATCACTGTTCTGCAAAACTGCTGTAGATAATTGAGAATACTGGATTATTTTGGCTTTAATGTAAATGCCATACAGTCTCTTGCTAACATAATATGATTTATATACATAGTTGTTCCACATTCATTAGTATGAGATACCTTATGTGCAATTTTATATGTCCTGAGATATTTGTAATAAAGGGTAGTTTGAAATCTTGGCTGAGCAGAAATCTCCACTACTCCAACATGTTGGTAGCAAGCATATTGATATTCCCACAGCAACAGCTATGTTTGCTATTTTATATTTAATAAGTGGAATATTTTATCGTGGGCCTTAGAATTCTGGACACCTGAGATAAACCTTTTGATAATTTACTGATAGCCTTTTCCATTTTCTTACTTTGAAGTGAGGATGTGAAACTTGGCAAACCTACTGGTTGTTCTTGAGTCCCTTTCAACATCTGTTGTCACACCAGCTCAGAATGAGGGGATTACAGCACCTCTGTCTCTCTTTGTTTCATACCCCTGCTGCCAAAAGATTTTGTGAGCAAAGGGCTGTGAACTACTTCACAGTGGAAAAGCAGAATGCATGTGTAAATAAATAACTCTTCAAATGTTCAGAGTACTTCCAATTCATTATTTTAGTCCACAGAACAGTAAACCTATAAACTAGGCCATTAGTATCCCCAAGTTGCTGATGGTATGCTTAAGGCCATCTGGAGAGTTCATGATAGATTTGCATCAAGGATGACTTGGCACAGTAACCCATATAAGTGCAAGTACTGTAACAGGTTAAAGATGCCCCAGACTCAAGGTTGTGTTGAGAGGAATGTTGGCTTAAGGATATCATAAATATAAAATGTTATCACCTTGATTAAAAAGAATGCTATTTGAATGTGCTTATTTGATTATCATTAGAAAGCATGTTTTGCTGATTTGGGGAGCTTTTGGTGATGGTTCTTCCCTTATAAGGAGTGACATTTGGTACAAAGCTATGAACAGGCTCACTAGCTTTAATTGCTGATTCAGAGCACCACCCTTTTCTTCCCAGAAGTACCTTTGAAAGATCATTTAAAACAATAGAAATGTTACAGAATGAAGCAACATAAGGAAGAGGATAATTGTAATACAGTGGTACCTCGAGTTACGAACGCCCCTCCTGACGAATTTTCCGAGATACGACCAGCTCCGGCCCCAAAAATTTACCGCGACTTGCGAACTCCGCCTCAAGTTACAAACCGGATCTGCAGCCATTTTCCCTGCTGCCACGCGGTTGCGGCTTCCTGTGGGAGAGATCGTGGTAGCAAGGAGACGTTCGGTGAGGCTTGTGGTGTGTTCTGTGGCGTTTGGAAGGTGTTT